TTTTTTTTTTTGTATTTTCTAAAACATGTATAATAATCTGTTCTTTTGTCTCAAAAGAAAAAAACTTAAAGAAAAATGTTTATAGCCAAGATTCTAAATTGTGAAGCCTAAAAAAGTAGAATACTTTCTAAAATCACATCACTAGGACACTATACATCTAATTTGTTTCTTCATACAAAGAACAAAAAGCAATTTCACACACAGCCTGCTTTATAATCACAACTCAATAATTCAACAGGTATTGGGCCCCTTTCATAGCAAGAAGGACATCAACTTTTTTCAAGACGATTGTTATTAAGCCTGAGCGACACAGTGAGACCTGTCTCTACATACACAAAAAAATAGAAAAATTAGATGGGCGGGGTGACGCACGCCTGTAATCCCAGCTATTTGGGAGGCTCAGGCAAGAGGACTGCTTGAGCCCAGGAGTTTCATGTTGCAGTGAGCTATGATAATGCCACTGCACTCCAGCCTGGGCAACAGAGAGACCTTATATCAAAACAAAAAACAAAAACAAAAAAAAGATTGTTATTAAAGTACGAGAAATGGGAAACCAAGATATTGCAGATGCAATATTAAGGGGAATCTTTAGTTCATTAGATTCCTAAATACCAGGAGTCCATAAACAATCCATATAAAACTCACCCATGTCTGGTAAGTTTCAGTGAACTAGGAAGATTCATTTCGTGAGGATCAAATTTTTTTGCCCACCTTTGTGAATCTGGAAAACTTTCTTAAAAATCAAAGCAAAACTTAGATACTTTTGTGTCTGACTCTCGAAACATACTGTCATAATTTGCACAGGGATAAAATAAGCTTCTGGGACCACCTCACCACACATGATTCACAGAATATCCATTCATCTGACAGTCTGCAGGCATCCATCTTTAAATATAATCACTTTTGTAGATGGGTATGTCATAAGGTAAACGCGGCAAAACGTTAATTACAGAATCTATTACAGAAAGTGAGTACCTACATAGCTGTTCACTGTAGCACTTTTCCAACTTTTCTATGTGAAAATTTTGGGGAGTGAGATGAAAATAAACGTTTTAAAAGTGAGACCACAAAGAAATATTTATCTCAACTTTAACCTACCTGAAGCTTCGAGGCCTTTCATCAAATCACAAACCTAGCATTTTAAGCACTTCACAGAAAAGCCCTTTAAGATGGCAAGTCTTTCTTATGAATACTCAACTGATAAAATTTAAAAAGCGATACTAAAAGTAATCTCTCACCCAAAGGAAGTTCACCTAGAAAGTCATTTTCCGGAAAGGTTCATGAGAGTGCTGCTTGACTTTTAACTTTACTCAACAAAATAACTTTTTCCTCCATTACCATTTCACCGAAATTTTTCATAATTCCAAACAGTACACCTTAATTGAAGTTGTTTCTCTTTTAAAAATCCCCCAGTAAGCAGAACCGTGGACCTCTCCCAGGTCCTAAAACTTGCAAAACCCAAGCGTTCGGGGCACTGGTGGCTCTAGGTGTTTCAGTCTACGAGGCAGACTCCAGGTTGGACTTGCACCCTGGGGTCTACACAGGTTAAACACGCGGGAAAAGGCGAGGAAGAAATACGGACTGCGGGGGTCTCGAAACGAAAAGAGCGACTGTGAAAGGGGTTAGGGAGAATCCAAGCAACTCTAAGGGGAGGACCTGGAAAGCCCTGAGCTGCGCAGGAGAGCAACCAACTCCGATACTCCTCCAGGCAAGCTGGGCGCCACCTGGCACAGGGCTCGGGAGCAAGAAGGGCAGGTGCGCGGGCCGGAGACCGGGCGCCCACCTGGGGCCCACCTGGCGCCCGGGCCCCGCGCCGCCGCCTCCCGCCCTGCCCGCCGCGCCCGCACCTCGCGGTCCTTGAGGCCCAGCAGGAGCACCTCCTCCATCAGGGTCAGCCGCGTTTCCTTGGAGTCGCCCTTGTCGTCGTCGTCCTGCTCGTCGCGGCGGCTCTGCGCGTCGTCCTCGCCGTTGCCGGCGCCGCCGCCCGCCGCCCGCTCCTTGTCGGCGGCGTTGCGGGAGGCCTCGGTGCGCCGCTGCACCAGGCCCGAGCTGCGCTGGGTCAGCGAGGTCATGGCTCGGGCCGAGGCGCCGCGCCGGGCCGACAGGGACGTGGACCGACCAGGTCTCCCTCCTCCTCCCCCCGCGGCCTCCGACGCGGGCTTCCGTGTTAAATCCGGGCGCTGGGGCGACGTCCGTCGGCAGCAGGGCTCGGGGCAGTCATGGAGAGACGGGTCAGGGAGAAGCGGGCTGGCCGGGCTCCGGCGGGGCGGGAGACGGGCGCCTTGCTGCCTGCGGCCGCGACCCCCAATGCAGCCCTAGCTCCGAGGCGGAGGAGGAGGAAGAAGGTGAGGAGGAGGAGGAGGCGGTGGCGCCTTCCCAATATGGCGGCCCCGGCTGACGTCACCGGAGGATGTGGCAGAGTCGGCGCGGGGCGGGGCGGGCCGTGAGGGCGCCGGAAGCGGCGGGCGGGGACGAGGCGACGGCGGGGGCGCGCGGGGGCTGTGACCCACCCCCTTCCCCGACCCTCGGTGCTCGCCCTTTCCTTTGCGTTCCTTCGTCTCCCGGCCTACAGTCCCGCACCTGAGACGTGCCCTCCCTTCGTCCGCCTCCCCCTTCGCCCCTCACTGCCCAGACTGGAGCCAGAGACTGGCAAGGCCCCCCACGAATCGGGGGAAGCCACACGGGGGTGTCCACCGCTCAGCTTCAGCCTGTGCCCTTAGCACCCCAGCCACCACGGTCTTCGGAGGTGGCTCCTCCGCCGTGATGTCGGCATCCCGCTTGGACTCCTGGGTCCGCACGACAGGCAGGCGGGACTTGCTCGCTGCTGGGGCTAGGAGAGGGCGCGCGCTCTGCCCAGGCTCCCTAACCCTGCAAAAGGAGCAACTACATCCAAATGGCTTGAAAGTGCACTTTTAGTGTTTTCTAGGACTAGAGAGGTTAGAACAAATTGACTAGTTTTGTTTGTAAAACTCTTTTCTTTCCTTGCCTCCGACTTGTTCTGTAAAGTGACCGGGGCGCGGTGAGTACAGTTAGTACCGCACACGTTAGTACAACTCGACCTTTAATGATCTTTTCATAGAGACAATAAACCTGTTGGGTTTCATGCCACGGTTTTGTCCACAGTAAATCTCTCTCATTGTAATTACTAGGCTAAATCCTCTTGGCTTGCTTGACAGTTTCGCAAAATATGTTAAATAATAGCTGTCAAACCTGAGAGGGGGTTTGGAGGAGTGCAAGGGTTGTGCTTGTTAAGTAAAACATTATCCAGAAATGGCATTGTGTGCCATCCAATATTATTTAAAATAAACTGTGATCACAGGCTGTGACTAAAGAATAGTTTAGAGAGGTTCTTCCCCCTCCACCAATCCATTATCCAAAACTCCTGCCCTGGAAATGGAGAATGCTAAATGAGGGGACGGGAGGTGCAGGGTGAACACCACGTAGACCTTCCCTTTTTCCTATCTATCTGGGCAAAGATCAATTTCACCTCCACCAATTTCTCCCGTTCAATTCCTCTTCAACCTTTTTTCCTTCATCTCTCTTCCAATTTTACCAAATACTGTAGCTTAAAGTATGTTTCTTTGTACAACAAATGAAATTAATTTGTTATTTGACAAATATAGTCAAGTATTAAATAGTTCAAAGAGTATAAAGATGTGTATAATGAAAATTTACTTCCCAGCCTTGCCGTCGTTCACCAAGTTGGTCACCTCCCCTTGCCCCGCTTCCTCTCCCCCAGGAGGTTTTTAAATATGTCAACAAATCCCCTGATACTCCTCCCCTCAAAATGTGAAGCCCAATTCCCTTACCCTGGAGTGTGGGCCAGACTTAGTGAATCTCTTCAAATGAATAGAATGTGTGTAGCTTCTCACACTAGGTCATAAAGTTTTTGCAGGCCGGGAGTGGTGGCTCACACCTGTAATCCTAGCACTCTGGGAGGCCCAGGTGGGAGGATCACTTGAGCTCAGGAGTTCGAGACCAGCCTAAACTAGAGCAAGACCCCATCTCTACTAAAAATAGGAAAAATTAGCCGGGCGTGGTGATGTGCACCTGTAATCTTGGCTACCTGGGAGGCTGGAGGATCTCTTAAGCCCAGGAGTTTGAGGTTGCTGTGAGCTAGGCTGATGTCACGGCACTCTAGCCCAGGTGACAGAGCGAGACTCTGTCTCAAAAAAAAAAAAAAGAATTTAAAAGAAAAGCCTTTGCAGCTTCTTTCTCCTCCCTACTCCGTCCATCATCACCAGCACAACTCATTATTCACTCCGGGAGAAGCCAGCTGCCATATCATGAAGACATTCAAGCAGCTCCAGGTGGGGAGGAACTGAGGCCTCCTGCCAACAGCCATATGAGTGACCCATCTTGGAAGCAAATCTTGCAGCCGCAGTCAAGCCTTCAATTGACTACAGCCCTGGTCAACATCTTGGATGAAAATCTAGTGAAAGATTCTGAGCAGTACCACCCAGCAAAGCCGTTCTCAAATTCCTGACCTACAGAAACTGTCGGATAATAAATATTTGTTGTTTTGAGCTGCTAAAGTTGGAGTAATTTGTTATGCAGTAATAGGTACTAAAATACTTGCATGCACACACACGCACAAATAGGTAACCACTAATATTACTTTCTTGGATACAGAGATTTCTGTAAGCATATATTAAAGCAAATATGGAAATGTTTTTCTTTTATGCAAATAGAACATACATGGTGTTTTGTATCTTTATTTTCTTCTCACTTATGTTGGAGAGCATTCTAGGTCAGTACTTACTAACCTCTTCATGATTTGTTTCAGCTGCATCATATTCTGTTGTATAAACATACACTAAAATTCCCTATTGATGGACATTTAGGTTGTTTCTACCCTTTGCTGTTACAAACAATACTATAATAAATATAACAGGCTGGGCATGCTGACTCACACCAGTAATCCCACACTTGGGAGGCTGAGGCCATAAGATCACTTGAGGCCAGGAATTCCAGACCAGCCTGGACAACATAGAGAGACCCTGTCACTACAATAAATTTTTAAAAATTAGTGGTGCTTGTCTGTAGTCCTTGCTACTCAGGAGGCTGAGAGGGGGAGATCACCCAGGAGTTCAAGGTTACAGTGAGCTATGATCGTACCACTGCACTCCAGCCTGGGCAACAGAGCAAGGCCCTGTCTCTAATTAATCAATAAATAAAAGGCCCTGTCTAATTAAATAATTAATTAAACAAACAAACAGCCTTGTCCACAAAAATATATGTTCATGGTCTGTCTATTCATCTACCCATACCACACTCTTCAAATTATTGAGATTTTATGTACAACTTTGTTCCTCTTAATTTTTTTCTGAGTTTTCCTAGTATTTTTTCCTTACCCATTTTTCCGTGTAAACATCAAAATCACCTTGTCTAGAAAGAGAGAAAGAGAAAGAAAGAAAAAAAGAAAAGGATATTTTAGGATCCGAAGTATCTATTCCTAATAACCGTGACCATTTCTTTACTGACTGCTGAGTATGTGCAAAGCATGTTGTCCAGTAACCCCCACAAGAACCCTGCCAGCTGGGTGCTGCTGCTGGGCTGACCAGTTCCACACGGACTCCAGCCACCTCCTACAGCGCAGCCTGGCACTCTCTCCCCACCTGGACTGTGCTGAGATAGTTCATACAACTCCTCGGGGGCATTTAGCTGCAGCAAGCTCAACAATACATCCAGGCCTCACTCCCCCTCCCTTGCTTCTGATCCCAGCAGTCGAACTCCCTAAGAGTAAGTACTAGCACAAAAGCCTTTGTCTTACACCCTGCTTTCTTCGGAACACAGACTAAGACACTCATTTTACCTGTGAAGAAACTGAGGTTCAGAAAAGTTAAACAATCTACCTAACATAACACATCTGGAAAACTGCAAGCCTGGATTAGAACCCATGTCTTTAATTCAATCAGTGAACAGATATTTATATTTATACATATTTGCTGTATGCCAGCCATTGTAGTAAGCAATCAGGATATAATAGTAAGCCAAAAGAGACATAATCATAATTTTCATGAAGCTAACAGTTTAGTGGAGGGCATAGATATTAAGCAAATCATCATGCTAATTAATGTATAAATGGAGAAATGCTTTGGAAGGAGGAATACAGTACTATGAGAACATGTACTGTCATATATATGAGAAACTTATATTTTTATCTGGAACTCAAAGAAGGCTGCTCTGAGGAAGTGGGAAGCCAAAGGATAAACAGAAGTAAACTATTAATAAAACCAATTGGAGGTAGATGGCATTACTGAGAAGAAACAGTATGTGCAAAGGCCCTGTGGCAAAAGAGAGATCATGGGATAAAGGAGAATCAAATAGAAAACCATATTGCCTAGACTGAGGGTGGGGAGTGATGGCAAAAGCAATAGTGACAGACAAGAATCCAATCATACAGTGCTGTGAGGCCACTTTAGGATTTTGGTCTTTATCCAACCAAACACAATGGGAAGCCATCAAGAGTACTTTTACATGCCCTGTGTGGCGAGGATGAGATGGGTGGGTAGGCAATATCATCAGATTTGCATTTCGAAAAGCTCACTAGATAAGGGGATGGATATAGGATACAGGAGCCAGTGAGTTTTTGCAGCAGTCCCACAGGGCCTGAGCTAGCACACTCAGCCCCCTTGCCTTGTAATGCCCCATGCTGCCTCAAGATTGCAGAGTCCCCACCAGCAAGAAGGCCCTCACCAGATGCAGCCCTTCAACCTTGGACTTCTCAGCCTCCACAACTGTAAGAAATAAATTTTGCCAGCCTGAGCAAGAGCGAGACACCGTCTCTACTAAATATAGAAAGAAATTATCTGGACAACTAAAAATATATAGAGAGAAAATTAGCCAGACATGGTGGTGTATACCTGTAGTCCCAGCTACTCAGGAGGCTGAGGCAGAAGGATTGCTTAAGCCCAGGAGTTTGAGACTGCTGTGAGCTAGCCTGATGCCACGGCACTCTAGCCCTGGCAACAGAATGAGACTCTGTCTCAAAAAAAAAAAAAGAAAGAAATTTCGGCCAGGTGCAGTGGCTCATGCCTGTAATCCGAGCACTTTGGGAGACCAAGGCAGGAGGATCCCTTGAGGCTAGGAGTTTGAGACCAGCCTGGGCAACATAGCGAGACCCTGTCTCTACAAAAAGTACAAAAATTAGCCAGACATGGTGTCTCGTACCTGTAGTGCCAGCTACTTGGGAAGCTGAAGCAGGAGAATCACTTGAGCCCAGGAATTTGAGGTCGCAGTGAGCTGTGATTGTACCACTGCATTTAGCCTGAGCGACAGAGTGAGACCCTATCTCCAAAAAAACAAAACAAATCAAAAAAACTAAAAAAGAAAGAAAGAAGTCCTTTTTTTATAAATTACCCAATTCA